GAAGGCCCCTACTGACACATACAGTATATGCAAGTGCACACACACACGCACTAACTATATTGGCTATTTGATCAAATAGATTACTTGCATTAAGATAAGTAGTTGCTGAAATCTTGTTGACAGAATAAAGAACAGATTATTAAAGGAGGTGGGAACACGGCGCACAGGAGAGATGCTGGTGCTTGACTGATGTTTGGCCTGTGTGTGTTCTGCCAGGAAGGTCCTGGCCTTATGCGGTCTGGAAGGATGCTGCACTCAAAAACAGCGTAGAGATTGTGTGAAGAATGCCTCAAAATTTGCAACCAAGGCAAGTGGATTTCCAGCCCTCATTGCATATGCATAGATTCAGAGGCTCATGCTCAGATCATTATAACAAAGATTCCTATTAATTAGGTGGGATAAAGCAGAACCAGATGACATGGCAGCTGGGATGAGAGGAGAGGGGAGAAGGGAGGGAACTGAAAGAGCAGGGAGAAAGTGCATCAGTCTGTTAGGGGGGAGGGGAGTAATATATAATACAGACTGCATCATATGTACAGTAATATACCTTTAGAAAACCTTTTTTAATGCTACATTTAGATACATTTAAGGTTTCCAAAAAAAGAAATCTGTTGGTGCCATTAAACACCTGCAACCAATTTCCTGTGAGCCTCCGTTTGGAGTCAGCAGGGGCTGTGACACTGACAGGGGACAGTGTTACAACAGTCAAGAGTTCATCAGTGCTAATCAGATCACAGGCTTATAGCTGATCCTATTCTCTTCCAGCGATTTCACCCATCCCTGAATCTCATTACATGGCCTGTTGTAATAGAGGATAATGACCTGGGGCTACGCACACAATGCTGATCACTCCCCCACATTCAACTTATCATACGTCATTATACAGTGATAATACACAACCTCGCCAGGGGGATTACACTTATAAATAAAGGAGTGATAAAGGCAGAGGGAGAGGAAGAAAGGTCTAAGTGATAACACAGGAACACATGCAGCACTCACATATAACCCCATGCTCGAACACAATTAGTTCACAGTGGCACTCCATGTTGGGCCGTTTTATGTCACAAGCAATGGTTAGGTTACCTGCCGCTGTAATAGGGAAACTCTTTTCTCAGTAGCCATTAAATATCTTTCTATCTGAGATTAAAAAAAGGGGTCACAGTTTGGCTGAATGGTGGTATGGCCCCCCTTTGCTAAGTTAATTAGCCATGACGCTGTCAAAGGGCTCCAGGTGTTGAGTATTCTGCTTGAGCGCCGACTGTATCCACTCTGACTGGTCTAAAGCTGGATTGAGGCATCCTCTTTCTGTTTTGTTTGTACTTAATTCTTAATATATTTGAATGCCTGTGTGTCTGCTTCTGTTCGTTTTTTTATTATTATTATTGCTACAGATTGCATAGTTGTCCGTTTAAAATCTATGTCAAATGTCGTGTTCACTGGCTGGGTGGCCCTGGATCACATACAGCACTGTTTTCTAAACAGCATCCAGGGAACTGAGCCACAACAGCATGTTATGATTCTGGATACCATAGCTATAATAGTCCACAGTAGTAAAATAGTTTAGAAAGGTTGACAGAACTAATAAGACACTGTAACACTGAAGACTTTAGTCTTTTTGTTTGTTTGTTTGTTTGTGTCATATCTATATGCCTCTCATTTAGGCTGTTTCTTCACCACCCCCCCGGCCCTGTCTCAGCATACCACTCAATGACAAAGATGACAAAAGATACATAACTGCATCCAATTCAGTGCTGGTTTTACTGGCAAGGACTCGACAAGCAGATACTGAGCTCAGGAAAGTCCCTAAATGCTAAGACAGGAAGCTTAAACCCAATTACCCGTCCTTGTCTTGGGGACGATCATAAAGACTCAACACACAAAGTATTTCTGTGTTGACTTGCACAGTATTGATTCATACTTTAGTGCATTATATAAAACTGTTCTAATTGCATGTGAATCAAACCAAGGTCACCTTGGGTTTTTATAATGGTGGCTATTTTTCTTTTTCCTCTAATACTTTATACTGACATTTTTAACTCTTGACAAGTGCTGTCTGGAGACCTATCCATAAATAATGCATTTACAATACCTAGTAAATAAACATGGGGCACAATCGTTAGCCCTGCTGGCAACCGGGCCTAATAGAGCTTTTACAGCAAAGGTGACTATTCAGCTAAATGCGGTGCTTGCTGCTGGGAGGACATTTTCATTCATTAGCACAGTCACCAGCACTTAAAGCACTTTAAGGAGCAGAAATGGAGAGGAAGGGTGGAAGGATAGAGAGGGTGAAAGGGTACAAATATATAGAGGTGGAATAATGGAGGGGTGATATCTATAATACAGAGGCTGCCTCTATTGTTATGTTTATAAGCCATTGGGGTCAGTGAAGGAAACTGGCCAGTACATGTCTTAGAATGGAGACACAATAATTAATTTATGTGCTAAGGTATTGTGTTTACCTGCTTATTCCTACTTAAAGGTCAGTTTAACAATATGTTTTTCCCCACTTAGTCCTAACTATATACTGTACCCACTGCCACCACTACAATGCAATTTAATTTGTGGTTCTCACAGCATAAAATATCAACAATGAATAACTCTATAGTAAGAAGCAACAGAACAGACAATTTGGATGCCATGTCCAGGAAGCTTTTCAACCCAAAGCTTCCAACAATGTTAACATTACTTTTAAGTGGGATTTCGCGTTCCATGTATGAGCAATGTGCTGTGTAAAAAGGTACCACAGACCATTTGTTTTCCCTCTACACTTGAGGTTACTGCGATTATCCTCAGTCCATCAGGACAATGAACTATCTTGACCAGACAAGGAAGCCCAGAGAAGAATGGAAGCAGATGGTGAAAAGTCTCTGAGGACCTCAGTGACCCTGACCAGGCAGGCACCAAAGCAACAGAATTAGACACAACAGTTGTCATGCTTAGATAAGTCATATATTTATCTCATCTGTTGCTTGTGCCACATTAGCAACATCATTAAGACAACAAATGGCTTCTCCAACCTTCTTGTATGTTCTTTAATAGGTTAATCCTGCCCTATTAAATTGCCAGCTGTGTCTCTCCACAAACAAAGACATGCGATTATGATTTCTCAAAGCTTTCGTATAGTTTTCCTTCGGCAGTTTCTAAGAGTTCCTCTCCCTCCATTTTACAGTAATCACTGATCATCATCACTGAAGCTTCCTGAAGTGCTCTCTGTTCCTGCAGCTTGGGGACAGCATACTGAACTTTGTGAGGCTCTTGTCTTCTGCTGTGCACCCTGCTCAAAAACTAATTTCCTCCAACAAGGGAGTTTATTTAGGTGGTGATGATACACAGCGCATGAGTTAGACCAAGTCTCTATTATTAACAGGAGATTAAAACAGCTGTATGGCACTCTAAAGCACCCTCTCCTCCTTGCGCTAACATACGGCCCTGGATTACAAGATGCACTTGACCATTTAAATTACTGCAACAACCAGCCTTCACCAGCTGGGGCTCATTACCATAACGCCGTTGCCACAGAGAGCACTGACGATCTTGCTCTGAAAATCAACCCCGCCAGTAACAAGACACATATGAAATATATTCTTAAAACAAAGAAGTAGTAGCAGATCTGCTTTACTGTTTTTACTAACCAAAATGTGCCCTATAAAGCGACCTGTGATGAGCTTCAGATCTAAGACCAGTGTCAAGAAGACCAGTAACAAGAATGCTGCATATTCCTAATACTTGTCTGTTGGTGTGAAAAAAACAAGAGCATTCATGCATTTTATTATACTTTTTGCTAAACTGCCAGAATCACTGGTCATTAAATAATATTAAAAGGTATCGATTAGAGTATGAATAATCAAACCCCACACATATGCAAAAGCAATAATTGGCATAAAGGTTGAAAAATACTGTCATGCATATGTTTTGTTTAATGTTTCAAATACATCATGACCTTTGTTGGTCATTTAAATCCATTTTGAGAATCTAAACTTTTCAGTTTACTAAATGATCTCCAATTTAAAAGTATTCAAATGAATGAGGACTGATTGTTCTGTCTGCTATTATCTAAACGACACCACAAATAATCAGTCCGCATGGCTTAATGCTTATCTGGTGAGAGGCCTGTGATGCTCTGATACGAAGATCACCAAACGAACACTTAAAAAAGAAGTGGCAAATTATTTTTAGGCTAACAGAGGTCTAATTTATTCGTCTGATGAAGTGCTTAAGCTAAGAGCTCCCCAGACACTAAATGAGACACATGCATTCCCAAGGGGGTTTAACATTTGATTGGATGTAGTTATATTACTACAGCCCTAATTAAGAAGGGGGATGTGTTTCAGCAGCTCTTTCAAATATTTGTTTTTCCGCCATACTCTTGATAGACTGCAGGCTGTGGGAGGAAGAGCCGAACAGGGTGAAACGGGGGGCAGATACGACGTAGACCTAACAGTCTTATCACAGAAAGTGATTGTTTTTTTAACTATAGGAAAATAAAACCTCTGAAATGTGCATGGTGTGTTGAATAAAAGAAATCAATTAGACACATGAAACAAGTCAAATCCTGAGAAGGGCTTAGGTTGTTTGTGGGTAGCAAACTTTGATGAATACCTGCACTGAGAGAAAAGTGTTCTGTGTAGCAAAAAAAAAAAAGAGGTAATGTTCCTGGCATCAGGTCAGCACTATGAGTTTTATAGTCAAAGAGTTTGGTTTGGCACGGAAGAAGACCACACTTATGCTGAGGTGAGCTGCAACACAGTCTTTGTCACATTGGAAGTGGTTCAGAACAAACTGGAAACACACTAACGTCAGTATTCCCAGCTTGTGTGTGCCTGCATGAGTTAATGAGACGGAGAGATACAAGAGAAAAGAGGCGGACAGTCGGGAAGCTAGAAAATTATAGAAAGAAAGAGGGAAAATGTGGGAAGATCAGGCACAGGAAGAAAAAGGTATTCCTTTTTAAAAAGGTATACGCCCATACCCCAAACACACACACACAAGAGAAGTCATACCGTCTTGCTCTGTCTTTGTCATCTCCTCCAGCTTCTTCTGCTTCAGCGTGTCCACTACGTCTGCCAGGCTTCCTTTGCGTCGCTCTGGAGTTCCAAACGCTGATCCACTCAGCAGGTCGCTTCGCTCCCGGGCCCCCTCCTCCGGCTTGTGTGGGGAAGTGGAATTGTTCCGGAAGGAGTACAGGGAACATACTTTATTGCTGTCAGATTCCTGTAACACAAACAAAAGTTGGGAGGGGTAGCAACAAGGGATGGGATTTGTATTAAATGATGAGTGTGTTTCTGTGTTCTGTCAGGGCTCCATAGAGCTTTTTGACAGTTTTTCCATTCAAATGTAATGATTGCTAGGTTTTTGCAGCTTACGGGCGATTTGGCCATATCAAATGGCTCCTCTCTCTGGCTTTCATACAGCAGCTTCTGTGTCCTCAACAGAGCTAGCTGTGGTAAATGAGATATGACAAGTGAAAAACTGAGATGAAATGATGAGGTACACTTTCATAGGGCATATCCATAATGTGCCCAGGCTTTACTTTTCATCTGCTGAGACTACACAGAGAAACCTCCCAACTGTAATTTCTCAAATTGCTTTTGAGTGTGCATTTGTGTTAGGGTGACTGCTGTGTAATTTGTTCATTTTCTAGTGGAGACCTATTCTCAGCTGAGTGCCTTGAGCCATCGTAAATCTGTGTCCTGTCTCAAGCTGTTGTTGTTTTTCAGTCCCACCTGTGTATGGTTTAGTATTTAACTAAGGGTCCTGTCTCTGGCTGACTGGCTGAGTGCTCCCTGTGCAGAGACATGAAGGAAATGGGGAGAAGAATGGGAGGGAGCTTGCTGAGGGAGAGAGACAGAGAGAATACTCTGCACATGGGAGTGTAATGTCAGCACATGGACCATGGTTGAGGGTTGCATCTGACAGAAGGTGGTGTTAATTATGGTTTGTGGAGTCTGAGAAAGCAGAAGGTAGCTAAGCAGCCAGGACTTTGCAGACTTTAACGGGGGAACACTTAACTTTGATTTAAACTTTGGCCTTCACAGTGAAGAGAATAAACATGACACACATCTGTATCCAACACAAACTGCATGCCTATAATGGAAAAGTGAGCTTTAAACAACAGCAGTGTGATAATCGATTGTAAAATAGCAATGATATAACGTCTGGAGCCACTGACAATCCTAAATAAAAAGTCAGTAATGTGGTAAAATGGGAAGGAATGTGTACAGTGCCAAATTCTCATCCCGGCAGAGTTGCAGTGATGTGTAGGGTGGTCTGGTACCAAGCGCCAGGGTGGCACGACCTACCGGCCTACTCTGCACCTCCCAGCCCTGTGTTGGATGATTATGCAGTGTGGCAGAGACAGTGGAGAGTGCTTGAGGGGAATGGAGCAGTGCTGGGTTAATCAGCTGGCACAGGTTCAGGGCACAGCCCACACAGACGCATGGCACAGCAGTGGAGTCAGGTAATCAGCAAAGGCAACACTCTCATTCCTTTTGCCTCACGCCTTTCCCTTTTCTTCTCTCTATCTCTCCCTGTTGTCCACCATTTTACCTTTCCTCTCTTTTCTCTGTTGCTCGTCTTCGTCATTTTTACTCTCTTTTCCATCCTTCTGCTCACTTACGCTTTTGACCTGTTATTCATTTAACTAACTTCTAAACATAATAAATCCAAAAACATTTACACTCCTAACAGTTGAGACTCTTCTTATGACACAAAGGCCATAGGAGGCGAAAATATAGAAATGCTCAAACATTCATCCTTGACATTTAAAATAGCCATCATCCAGCTTGGAGAAGCCATTTATGATGAGATGAACTCAAATGAAACAAATTAATGTATGTTTTCAGACCTGTATAACCCTTTCAGTTTTTCTTGTTGATACTTTAATGGTTGCTGTCATTGTTTACTTCAGTAAAAGATCTTTTGTGTTGTTGACTTTTCTAAAATAAACAAATCAATTACTCCTTAACAGATTACAATTACAATTTAACAGAATCACATTGTAACATAAAACAGCCTCTGCAGAGGATGCTCTTGTTCATTAAGATATTACATTACAAATGCATTTAATATTATAATTTTATCAAATATGGTGATTGTTTTTTAAATTTTTTTGATCATTTAGGTCTGACATTGACATTTTGTTTGCACTTTGTAAACACTATTTTGCTGTGGGGTTATACAGTATAAATATCTAATTAATTCTAGTATTAATAGTACTTGGTATGTAGGTATTTCCATGTATTTTTAGCTGCACATCATAAACAATCATAAAAGCTAAAATCCTTTTATTGACCTCCCATATAGTGCAACCGATGAAGATGGCCCCTGAGCGATCCTTTGCCTGTCAATTACCTACACTTTCAGCATAAACACGCAGCATCATGAGGAGCAGTCTGCCACAAAGGCTATTCATGTGTCTGTTTGGGTTTGTGTTGTGCTGCAATGCTGAGATGTTGAGGGTCTCTGTGGCCAACTGCGGTGCTACTTCAGAGGCCCTCTGGGTGTCTTTACCACAGACCCGTCTGTCACAGACAACCACCTGCCTCCCATGTCTATACCCCAAGAGTGCCTGTGCTCTTCTTGGCTCCGCTCACATCAAAGCAGCGCCGCACTTAGAATGTACAGCGTTTGGGGTCTGGCTGCAGATGTAGCTTGTACACAACAAGAAAAACAACACACGTGTACTGAGGACAAGACATGTTTTTTTAATAGTAACAAGAATACAAGCAGAAGGAAGCAGATAAGGCTAAGGTTCCCTTCCGTGGATCATGATCCAATTCAATGTGCCTTAACATTATTCAAGGGAGAGTTAGAGGTCCTCTGTTTAACCTAAAAATAGCTGATGGTTCAGTGTTTGGCAGAGATGCCTATGTGAAGACCCCAGAATCCCAGAGGTTTCACAGCATTAGGGAACCATGGGGGCTGGAGCTAGGGATAGAATATCGGCTCAGCTTCTTTGTACGAGCCAGTAACAAGGAGTGCCTGCTGAGCCTGGATCTTGAATACCCAACGAAGGACAATAAGACAGTGGTACACTGTGTACCATAGTTTTGAAATGATCCTTCTTTACTAGGTTTTCTGTAAAAAGAAACTTTTACTCCATTTATGATTCCCCCCACAACTATTCAGAGTTTTCTTTTATCCAATTCTTAGCACGGAAGCATCAAACGAGAATAGAAAAAGGTTCCGAGTTTTAACTGAATAATTTTAGCAAACTTTAGCAAACGTATGTGACTGGAAGGTATTCACGGAATCTTCAGTTACCTGAATACTATACTTCTCTTTATTACTTGTCACCTCAGTCTGTTCTGCTAAATGGAAAGTCACAGTGATTTTGAGTCTTTAATAGAGTTATCAACCAATGCCACATGTATTTTGTAATGTGACTATAACTAACAAAAATAAAGCTTAGGTAAATTGTCAGCCATTGTAAACCAGCTCAGAGATGTTCAGTGGAAATGTAATAGACTTTTGAATGTCTGGTAATTGTGGTGATCCAGCATCAGCATGGGATCAATTCTTTTTTTTTCTCACATGTATGTAGTATGTTGACATGTCTCACCATGCGCTGTTGGGCTGACACCAGGCTGTCCCAGTCACTCTCTGGTGGTACACTGCTTAGCGGCTGCATTTCATCTGGATGGGTTTTTCCATGGAGCAGACTGTGCAGTGGCAGCTGTGGTGTGCCATGGGCCTCTGCACTCTCCTCTTTCTCCCAAGGCAAGTGCTCCTGACTCATGGCATCATCCCCATCAACCACAGAGGCAAAAGGAGATGTGGCTTGCTTGGAAGACATGACTCTGCTGTGGAGCAAGAAAGGGAGAATAGAGTCAAGAAAAAAAAGTGATATCTTATCACTATCACTATTATCGTATCATTAACAATATATGATAAGGAATGCAATATATGATAAGGAATGCTGTTTCCTTGAGTATCCCATGGCTGATTGGCAGTTACGTTCAAGTGATTGTGTGTGGCTGTAATTGGGATTATAAGTGGTGCACCTGAGCAGATGATGCTGTCAACTGTAGCTGCTCTTGCCTGTGGAGTTTGGAGCAGGCAGTGGGGTCCCTACTTTTTTGTTCAATACAGTTTGATGGCTTGATCTAGGGCTGGAATTGTGCCTCCCTGGGTCCTGGCCCAAACTCCAAGACAGTTACTCAGGCAGTAGGTCAGCCAGGCAGTGGGACTATCATCCAGATAAAAAGTGAAAAAACAACAACTCACAAATAAGTTAACTCCTGATACACAGATATGTAAAACACTGTTCCTTCTTTCTGTGATAATATTCTTTAAAATATATATATATATATATATATATATATATATATATATATATATATATATCCAAGCAAGAGCAATCTGCTTTATCTTTCATGTTAATTTCATTTAGTTTTGTCCTTCAAGCATCTTATAGTTTTCCTTGTGTAAGTTCATTTCACTCTGAAGCAATCAAATGCAAACAAAGAACAGCAATCTCTTCTTTTGTTTCAACTCCTCAAATTAGGACATTATTAACATTTTGGTGTGACTGTGTGGCCCTCAGGCCAAGAAATCCTACTTAAGCAGCTTATAAATCAAAAACTAACAGTGGAGGACTAAATACAAAAATCTGTCACTTGCTTTCATGAATATTACAGTGAAGAGTGTACTTGACATATCAGGTGCAAAGGAAAGTCATGCTAATTCTAAATTTATTTTTTACAACCCTACAACTCTTTTTGGTGCAGAATTTATACAACGATTTCCACTTTTTCTCACAATTAATGAGGCCACTCTCGTGCTGTGTGCTACAATGAATGAAATTAAACACAGTGCCAACAAATCTAATTATGCATTTGGTATTAAATCAAAAAGGGGATAATATGGCCTTCCTACTGATGTGAAGTGGAGAGAAGGAGCTGGAGCATATTTAACTCCTAATCCGCTTTTCCCTGAGCTGTTGTTCTGCTTATTTTTCTCAACTACAGGACTCTGACCATAAAACTAGAATGTTACTACTTAGGGCTCAATCTTCTCTAGAGGATGAGTGTGTGTGTGTGTGTGTGTGTGTGTGTGTGTGTGTGTGTGTGTGTGTGTGTGTGTGTGTGTGTGTGTGTGTGTGTGCATGACAGGAAGAAGAAAGACAAATTGGGGGTGTGAATGTATGGGTCTGAGTTTTTATGTGACAAAATGCTCAGGCTACGTCTTGTAGTACATTTGATCACTGATCACCATCTGCCCCGTTCTCCTGCTCTATCTACCTATCCACAGGGGTCAGTGTGATAGCACTTTAGTTTCACCCTCGGCTTGCCTGGGGGGGGGGGGGGGGGGGGGGGGGGGGGGGTGTCCTTGCACTTTCTGCTGAGAGTCGGCCACCCACAGATAGGAAATGATATGTTCAAAACTCATAAAGCAACAGTTGGAGAGCTCAGATTTTCTGGACATTGATTAGGTATGTAGCGCAGATAAATTAAAGGCTGTGACACCGTGTTTTGTTTTAATCTTCAAAACAGTAAGCAGACCATCCCCAGAAGACTTGAGAGGGCTGGAGGGAATCAACACTGAAGTAGTTTGAACATAATTCTGTATTTAATTATTGTTCAGAAACATGTGCTTGTCTATCCAAATAAAAGTATCTGTATGCATTACCACACTATTTGGCTGTCATTCCGTCACACACACACACAGAGTCACAGATCAACCCAGGAAGTGAAGGAGGACCTAAACAATAGTGGACTAAGTTAATGTCATGTGTCTCAGCAGCTGTACTAACAAAATTCAGCATGTCAGGTAGATGACAAGGCATGAGTGTGAGACCTGTGCCTAACAGCCAGTCTGTCTATCCTTCTGTCTTATAGCCCCTGCGCCTGGATGTTTCGGCTGTTTCTTTAGTGGGACTCAGCTCTCAATTTTAATCAGCCATTAAATTGTTTCCTGTAATTATGTCAAATAGAAAGTGATCTCAAAATTGGATACTGTTAATTGAAAATCAAAAGTCAGAGCAAAGTTCAGAGCATGCGTGTAACGGTAAGTAGAGGGGGCAGTAGTGGGGCTGGGGGGTTGAAAGGGAAGGCATGTTTGTGTGTAGGGGTGGGTGTGTAGTGGGAGCGGGTCGGGCACGCAGATTCTGACGTATTTTTTATTCATGCACCCAAAAAGCCCAAGCCTCAAGCGCAACAAGCACCTCGGCCTCAATGGAGTGTGAGAGTGAAACAAAGCACTGCTTTTGTATTACACAGTAAATCAAGTGGTATTATTTTACCACTAAAATATTCAGTCTCTCAGGCACTTTTACTTTGGTCTCCAGCCATCAGTCAAACTGCTGAGGCGTGAGTGAGAGAAGGGGAAAGAGAGAGAGAAAAAGGAGCGATGGAGACTCCATCCTCCTGTAACATGTGTCCACAGCAATCTTGTTAAAGAATGCAACAGATCTGCGGCAGGCTCCATAACAGTATTTGTCAGCAGGAGTTAATAATTTATTAGCAGTGCTGGGAGGGCTGCGCTCAGGCAGCTTAAGAGTGCAGAGAACCCCCTCGGCCCCACCCCCACTTTCGACAAGCCCCATACAATACTACCTCATATTATTGAAAGGGAAAAGGGGAAGTGCGGCAGTAATTCTCTGAAAATATCTGAGGGCAACCATACGGTATTTTATTTCTCATATTCGGAGCGGGGATCACACAGCGCTGAGATCTAAAGGGGTTTGTGTGCAATAGCTCACCATAGACACAACAAAGACATTTGATGAGAAGCAAAATAAGGAGCAGAATTCAGCTGAATGTGGGTAGTAGCAATGCATGTAGAATATCATCATATTTTCTGATAGAATTACAGTGTTTACAGCCTTGGCGTCTGTGCGTAAAAATAAAGTCAGCAAAACAGCCCTGTTTGCACAACTGCAGTGTATTCTGGTGCTGTTGAAATAATTTCACTCCCATTAATATTGAATAATAAACTAAACAGTGAAAATATGGTGAACTGAAGAGGTAGCTCATAAACCTCTGACAAGCTCCCCTCCCTCATGCTTGATTACACAACAACAATAGACAACTAACAAACCAAAGTAATCAATAAGTGCATGAAACCACGCCGTGGTTTTTATTTTCTCAAAGACAAAGCCACGGTGACTTTAAAGACTCGAGGCAGAGACGAGGGAGGGTCAGTTAGAAAAGAGAACTGGTCTATATATAGTTAACAATATTGCGCACATTTGAAGGATTAGGACTTAAGTTCCCTGCCGCAGGCTCATATGGCCTGGAATGCTTTGAGTCATGAATTGTTCCATGCGATAATGTTTCATCATCGTGCAAAACAACCTCTGCTTAATTGGTGAGTATTAGAGGAGTGTAGTGCACTGCTCATCTTAGGGGTCTTGTGATCGAGGGGCCATGTGTCCTCGGCTATCCCATTTCCTCTTTCATCGTAAAAGGGTCTGACTGACTTTCACCCGCTGTATCTGCTCTGTAACACTGTTTACCTTTTATAGACAATGGTGACAAGTAACTCCATACCACCTCCCCCACCACCCCAGCCCGTCCACATGGTCACTACTGATGTCTAGCACCTTCAAGTTTTGATCACAAGACTCAACAGGGGAGACTATTACATCTTCTTCCTTCACATCAGTTATCAGCAGACAAAAGGAGAGGAAATCTAATTAATTATTAAACATGAAAAATGGGATGGGAGAGTAGGCAACTGAAAAAGGCCATGTGTAAGTGTGTGTACTCATGCACGCATGCACATACAAACACACACAGATTAAGAGTGTGTGCTCATTTAAAATTAAATAAAAGTAAAGAATAAGAAACAATTATTAGTCATACAACCTTTTGTACCATTTGTTCATATAAGTAAATGTATATTTGAGTGTAAATTTGACATCCTTTTTCAAGCATACAAAAGAACAGTTGGCATATTGCAGCACCTGCAGATGTCTGAGATGTATTAGCAGCGGCAATTAAACACTATGACTGTTCTGTTCTTTCACTTTGTCACTGTATTATACTAAAGGAGCTATTAAATATGCGTACCAAACTAAGCACTTATAGTTAAAAAAAACATATGGACTTAAATTGTAAGTTTGTTTAATTAAATCAACTTGCAAACAATGGCAATAACCTTGAATATAAGTTATATAATCAGCAGTAATGTTTTAAAGTGAAGTAGAAGTAGATAAAGAAAAGGGTCTAGGGCTTTAAACTGTGCACATGTGTGTATGTGTAAACGGAGAGAGAGAGAAAATCATCTGTGTGTTTTCCTTCAGGGCTTCCTCCTGTTCTAACAGGTGTCGTGGTAGGGTTCCTCTGGGTTCTTCACCTGCCATAATGAGATATTACTACCTGACAGCTCCCAGCTGGAGGAGCATTGACACGGAATCCACCGTTTAGCACAATTAAATTATCACCCTCCATTGTGATTGTGTCATGCTGTGCAGCAGCCAGGTTTCTGGATACATAATCAACTCGTAACACGGGCTGTATACTGCACACGGTTAGTCTTTTTTCACACGCATGCTTAGACACAGAGTGTGTACGCAAATGCATTTTTGTCTATTGTATAATTCTTGCAGATTTTTAAAAAAGAGTAAAAGAGATTGCTAGAACCATTTTATTTCAAGTCAGCTTGAGTCAGTGATACACAAATTTATTTAAATCTCTCAAACATCAGCCGACAAAGTAATTACAGATAATGATATTAAAATATAGCAAATGGTTGGGAAAATACGGATTTTCCAACTACTGTACACTGACTGGAGAGTTGTCTAAATGAATTTGTTTAAATTGTTCCTCCATTATTGTTGACCTTCCCTTGCAAAAAG